GTCTCCGTCCCCGATTATGGCTCCTGGTGTTACACCATTGCTGAACTGGGTAACACGAGTGCTACGGGCTCACGTAATTTTGTCACTTTGTCAGGATTAAAATAGTAGTTGTGCTTATTTATTCCAAATTGCACCCGAAATCATATGACTACCTCTCGTACTAGTTTTTGCTAATTTTCCTCAATGTTATTTACTCTTCACGGGTGATTCGCGAGTTAAAAAGGAGCGGTCGCAGGTTTTACAAGGTCTCTGTTAGAGAAAGGTAGTTCAGATCAGCTTGAATTAGATTTGTCTGTCAAGAAATTGTTGTCTCAGCACAAGTGGAGAATTGAGAACACACGAATTAGGGGTGAAAAAAATTCAAACCACCCCTACAAAGCAGGATCCCGGTACCTCTTAGGGGTTCTTTTCAAAGTTTTCGACAGGCATCTCCGTTCTTTTTATAAAGGAGTCTCCCTGGGCTTTGAGAGGCACAGTTGAACTTGAGAAGGTTTTCAGGAGCATATTCTAGAACTTTGCGAAAGAAAGCCTGCCACATCAAGCAATGTGTTTTACAAGTATGTCGACGTCGTTTCCATTCTACACAAAATCTATTGTTTTTTTACTGTAAATACACATACATTTTTTGCTGCGTTTTCGCGTAACATTCACACTAAAACGACAGATACCGTCGATGAAAATCATGTCGGGAACTCTCGACACGCTATTAAGGGTGAAGGCTTCTGAAACCGCCAATATTGTTACATACATACATACATACATAATTTATTTGACTAAAGCAGGTTGGAGATCAAAATTGGCAAGACGCTAAGTCCTGATGTGGACCTGCACTATCTAAAATAAGGATATTTTAAGGATGTTTTAAGGATAGTGGAATGTGGCGAAAGCGGAGACTGTTTAAAACCATGGAAGTGCTCGTTTCCGTCCAAGACTGTAATCATCATGTGATTAACAGACTAATTCCTTCGATTGATCGACTTCTTAACCTTCTGACTGACTGGACCCTTTCCTGACTGGCTATTTTAACAACTACCTGCCTGTCAGACTAACTACAGACTGGTTTCCTAAAGCTGACATGTAAGGCAAAACCTCTGTGACTAACGTTCCTCAAACTTCGTTATCAATGAAGATGTGCTATGACCACCTGCCAGATTGTTGCTTCTTTTCGGAAACAAAGTTTGCACGAGACTTAAGCCCTGCTCGAACGGACTCGTAGAGACTTGCGTCGGGTGGCCAAACGGACTCGCAAGTTTCCTCGCAAGCGAGGTACACGCTGGTCGCAAAAAAACCCATTTCAAGGCAGACATATCCTGCATTTCATTGGCTAATAATAGGTTAATGGACGTCACTCAACTTGCGTTGACTTGGTTTGGGTGGCCAAACGGTGAAAAACTTGCGTCGACTTGCGTGCAAATTTGAACTCGACCATAGTGAGCAAGTCATCGCAAGTCAACGCAAGTGCACGCAAGGCCTGGCCAAACGGAGTCGCAAGTAGACACAAGTTGAGAACTTGCGTCTACTAGCGACTCCGTTTGGCCAGGGCTTTAATCAGTGCGACCCATTATTGACTCATGAAGAAAACTCGTTAAAAAATACACTGAAGTTTTAGAAGTTTTCATCAGCTTTTCGTGGAGGCACGGTGGCCGAATGGTTAGCAGGCTACTCTGGACTCCAGATCGAGCAGTTATGCTTTCGAGTCCTGGCTAGGGTCATTGCCCTAATCCTACCTCCCACAGTGCTTCTCTCCAACCAGGTGCCTAAATGGGTACCAGTGAATTTAATGCTTGGGGATAACCCTGTGATGGACTAGCATCCCATCCAGGGGGAGTAGAAATACTCCTAGTTGCTCTGGCTGTGTGGACAATTGCACTGATGTCCACTTTTTTATTGACTCATAAGGAAAGCTTTTTGAAAACACATTAAAGCTTAGGAAGTTTGAATCAGCTTTTTGAAGACTGATATAAATGCACAACACATGCAGTATTATATTCCATTATTATAAATAACAATCCTTTTTTTACTGACTCATAGGAAAAGCAGATTTAAAATATACTTAAGTTTTAGAAGTTTTAATCAGCTTTTTTGGAGATTGATATAAATGCACAATGCATCCAATATTATATTCCATTATAAATAACAATGCAGTATTATTAAACACCACTAAATATCTATAACCAGATCAATTTCTATGATATGTATTGCCTTCTAACAAGAAAACTTAACAGATCCAAGAAATGGAGACAGCTCTCTGACATTACTAGCAATGACGTCCACTTCTTCCTCACTTGGTAAAAAAGAGAGTCCAGAAACATCGAGCACTTCAAGAGATGGGCAAGCTAAATTGATGTGGTCCATTAGCAGTGATGTGCAGGAGACAATGTGAACTTCCTTGAGGTGCGCACTACTCAGATTGAGCTGGCATGGGCCATAACAGTTCCTCAAGGTCAGAGTCTTGACAAGGCCACACTGCTGGATTATGTCACGTAAGGGACAATCAAGGTTGCAATATTCCAAGGACATGTGCTGAATGTTACAACTGGTAAAAGCTAGTGCATTGAGATTGCACCGTTTTAAAACAAGATGGCCAATTTTCACAGGGCGTGACCTGTTTCTAAAATTCAGCTTAGTAAATTCAGCTGGCTTGACGAGATCTAACCTCCTTTCAAAATTCACCTCCAGGTATTTGACCTCCTCAGCATCA